AAGAGCAGCGAGTTGTATGTTGCAACCAAATTTGGTAAGCAAAACGGCTTGTTTACGGGAGTTACAAAGGATTTCGACTCCAGCCTCGTTTTCATGTTGGCCTCCATAGGTGAAAATTTCAAACCCCAATAATTCCCCTCTGAGGAGGTTGCAAAGTTGCCACCAAAACTTTTCACGACTACTATGTCACAATGAACATTCCTAGACCAGTGGCTTGCTTTCAGCAAAAAAATCCCACGGGACCTTATATTATGACATTTGCTCCCGGACTAGCAAGTTGAAGATGTAGGAAATGCCGGAAATCCCAAATCCAACCGCATCGTATAAATCTGTTTTGACTGTGGGACGAGTGACAGGTTCTCCGGAAGTGAAAGCATTATTGACCTTTTAATGGTGTGCTATTAGCAATCTGTGAGCTTTCCGAACGTCTTTGTTGAAACTGCAGTTGACTCTCCACGTGTTTAAGGTTTTCAAAAAGTCCTTTCCTTTTTTTAGTAGTCGAAGGCAAGTCTGGCACAAATACTTTACTTCTCTCATCTCTGATAATTTCACTTCAAATGGTAATTCACTTCTCAAATTTATTCCTTCTAAACCGCTTTTTGTTTTGGCAAGTAATATGTATCTTGACAAAGTATCTTCTATCGTGCTGATGCACAACACGCAGCTTCCTCCTGCCATTTTATTCTGAACTAATGGAACACAGCTTTCGCAAGCTTTTGCACAGAGCGTGCATGCTTCAAGGGAAATTTGCTTCAACCAATCAGAAACACTACCCAGATCTGGGTAGTGACACGTCATCAGTATGGAATTTCTGCAGGCGTTTCTCAGACATCGTTTCTCAGGCTAATGTAAATGATTACAAACATGCAATGATACATGTAACTAATGGTTCAAGGTTAAGGCGCCACCAATATAGGTTCAGTTACAATGTCATAAATGTACGGCATCTATTGTGTACCATTTTTGTTCAGAAAACCACTCTTTTCAAATCCTTTCCCAAAAAACGCTCAGATTGTGAATCTGAAAAATCCGGATTTGGATTTGATTGGGTTTATTTTCTTCTTGGAGGAAGATAGGTTATTAATCCCTTCCCAGGTTGCCTTCATGTTATTAAGATTTAGTTCGAAAAAGGAGTTGTAGTAATTCCTTTTACTTAAACGAGTTAACAATGATAATTTATGACGATACAATTTGTAGTCATCCTGTAGACCATCGTGGTATAACTTGTTTTTCGTACGTATAGAGGTGAGTAAGCCTTTGGTTATCCAAGGCTTTGCCATCTGCTTAGCTTTACGTCTAGATACTGTTTTAAAACGGGCATGCTTATCAACTAGTCTGTTAAGTTTGTTGTAAAAGACATTAAATGCACAGTCAGCATAAGAGTTAGGGGGCCAGGTGATTAGCTCGAGATCATTGTTAAAATCAGTTTGGTTAAATGATGAAAGATCCTGTTGCGGATTCTACTATTAAAAATCTCTTAAGGTTGCTAGACAGGAAGCAAACCTGCGAGTAATGGTCACTGATGTCAGAAACAATGTTACCACTCAGTACAAACTCATCCAGGCTATAGTTGAAAATATTATCAATGAAGGTAGCAGAGCTACCATAAGACCTTGTGGGTTTGTCGATAGTTTGAAGTAGAGATATACTTTGTAAAGTTTCAAAAAGGTTTTTGGCTATAACTGCAGCTCTCAACTTTAAGGAGATCTATATTGAAGTCATCAAGTAGGATAATTTCATTATTTCAGGCGCATAGAGTTTCAAGTTTGCTTGACAGACAATCTAGGAAATGATCTGGACAGTTGTGCTGCCTTTATACCACTCCACAAATGATATTTTTTCCTTTGCGCTTGTTTAATTCACACCACAAGGCTTGAATGATGTAGATTTCTTTTCTAGAATTCTGTAGGGGATACGCTCATTTGTGTAGAGCCCAACGCCTCCAGCTGATAGAGGGGTTGGTACATGGTCAAAATTGTAGCCAGGTAAATTTGGATTGAAAAGTAATACTTTATCCTTAACTATCCTCGTTTCAGATACTCCAATTATACTGAAATGAGTATCAAGCTCATTAAGTAGATGATTCTGGAGGTTTTCAAGAGTCGTGCTAAGACTTCAAATATTATTATGGAAGATAGAGAAAAGGTTGTCAGACTGAGCTAGCCTATGTTTTTGCCTGAGGAAATTATGAGGAGAAAAGTAGTTACATCTAAAGTGGCTATGACTGCTGCTGACTTTGACCTGTTGATCTGTAGGTACATTCAAATTAAAGAGGTCAAGGTCAAAAAAGCTCTTAAATTTGTCAAGTTGATTTCTGGACAGAGCGGATGTGAGCAAATTATTAAATTGCAGATGTGCAGAAGCAAGATCTTTGCACCCATAGTAAGGTAGTTCCTTAAGTAGTAGTTTGTTTTCTCTCTCTACTCTATTGTCACGCAAGGGCATGAAAAGAAGAATAATTAATGATGCATTTAGCATACCTGAGATTGTTTGTCCGTACGATGCAAATATTATTCCATGACACATCACTTAATATACATATCCATAGCACAGTTTAAGGCGCTGAGCCAGAACTTAAGTTCGCTAAATCACCTATAGAATAAAGCTTAAAGATCAGAGACGTTTTGGTTTCTCTCATGAGGACAGCTCCATTTTTGGCCCAGCAAAATTTTAATTTTAATTGTTGTTGACACTTTTTTAGATTCGTAGAGTAGCTGTTTTAGGTTTGGCATTAAGTGTTCGAAAATTCTTGCTGAGGTTAAAAGCACATCATAAGGCAAACCAATTTCAGAAGGATTTATCGTGGAGATTCAAACTCTTTGCTGCATTATCTATGGAATGGGTAACCAACGGGTAAATTTGCATATGATGGCGTTGTGCGAAGACCTCTTGCTTCACTCCTTGTAGATCTCTTCGGAACACGATGCGCTATATCGATGTCATTGGTGGTAACACTAGCACCAAGGACACAGAGGTTGGCCGTTGCCATCGCAGTCTCGTCAGGTAGCTCAGGTATTCCTACAAGCTTTAGGTTATACCAATAGCTGTAGGCTTCCAAGTTGTCAATGGCTTGCGCTAGGTCGTTTACCTTCTTAGAGAAAGTATTAAGTGAGGCTGAAAGTTCCTTAAGTCTTGTGGACACTTTCTTCTGGAAAGCTGGAAACCAGTCATATTGTTCACTTACAAACTCAATGCTGTTTTCCATGTCCTTCAGGGAACCCGAGGCGCCATTGTTCTGCTGTTCCGTTTACCACTGGTGATTCTCGACTAATGCTTTCCAATCGCGAATTCCTTTCGTAAGAACTGATATTTGGCTTTTAAGGTCATCATTTTCCTTTTTAAGAGCTTGGTAGTTTTTTTGATCATATTGATAATAGTCAGTCAGAAAGTAAGATTATTATCCGAGCTCAGAAACACGCGTCCATCTTGCATTACGTCATGTGCCGAGGATCTAATTTCTTAGCACGTGTTCTACATGGTTGATGCTGTCATTAACGTCTTCCTTGAACTCTTTGATTTCATCTTTTATCTTCTGAAACTTGTTTTCAGGCTCTTCTATTTTACATTCGATCTTCGCCTCTAGCCTACTCACCAGTAGGTTGAGTAGTTTCCCATCAGGAATGGAACCTAAGACATGCGGTATTTGTGCTTGGGGCATTTCATTTTCAATTGATCTCGCCTTTTTGCTTTCATCTTTCTGATCTTTTTGTTGCTTTTTGACAGGACTTTCGTTGGTGCGTGCTGAGTTGTTGGCGCTTTGCTAAAGCTTGTTTTGTTTTACTCAGTGTGGAACATCGAAAACAGTTGTGTTTGTAACAGTATGGGAACATTTGCCCCAGTGGCAAATGATCAAAGGCACCACACTTTGACTAAGCTTGCTGCAATCTTTTGCTTCCCTCAATTTCCTTTGAGTGTATTGTTTCTATGCGGTGTTCCATACTTTGTTACCTTTCATTTTTTTTGTCTGCATTTGAAGGGTTTTGATGGACCTCACTCAGGTTCTTCTGTGCAGTTGCCTTGAGAAATCTCTTTTCAAAATCTTGATTCCCTTCTTTCACCAAAGCCATTTTCGGTAATTAAAAATCCACTGATGTTGTACGAGACAGCCTTGCTACCACAGCCTCTAATTCTTACCTCTCAATTCAAAACATCGAGCGTGTGACTGATTCAAAGCTAACTGTGCTTTTGATTTGCAGTGTCCTACCCGAGTAGTTCATTCCCACTTAAAGGCGAACTTCAGAGTAAAAATGACATTTTTCTTAATGATTGACTTAACATTGTTGTTTCAAATTTTGATTACCAATTTGAGTGATTGTTTGTTAGAACGAAGACATTTCACCTGAAAGAGAAGTCAAAAATGCAAATAGCATTCAACCATCTTGAAAATTGTTCACCTGCTCAGAAATGGGTCAGCGTTTTAATTTATGACGTCACAATGTCAAGCATAATCCGATGTTTACGCGACTTCCAGTTGTGTACAACATTTTGCGTCGTCTGCTTTGGGGCTTTTTCTTACCTTTATCACTCTTATAATATCAAATTCTGAGTCAGAATCCGAGTTCTCTGATGAAGAACAAGGAGCTCAAACGTTTTCTATCCAGCCGTATCAGTTTGAACTGCGGTTAAACATGGATTCTGCACTTACCAGAAGTTAATAGAAAAACAAGAAACAAAAATAGCCAGCAAATACTGGAGAATATTGGATATGGCCTGGGAGTAAACGCCTTAACCCACTTTAATGATAGTCAAATCATGAACATAGCTACAGCAAAGGTAATTAATGTAAAGCTACATGTAAGCGTACCAGGGTGGCCAGAAAAAACCTGCCCCAAAAAACCCCGTAGGCAAAAAAGGTTTGGAAATCTGGGACGGGCCAGGCACATCTTACGTCCCCCGCCAGGACTCTATATAGTAAATAAACTACTCAAAATTACAAAGTCAGCAAAAGCAAAAATCTAATTCCGATTAAATAATTGCCAACATATACTGGAAAAAATATCATGACATAATGATAAAATATAAAATAATATTTATACGAGTACCATAGACAACTAAATTGAAAGTTCCTTAGATACGGTTAAACGTTTGCTAAGACCATGCTTAATATATCTATGCTTAGTGGACTCGCACCTCCAACCAGCATCCATATCTTACAAGTCACCAGCTATTTTCCAACAAGCTGGATTAGAAGCCGCGCCAGACTTCATACAATGTGTGCCGTACTTAGAAATGTCACTAACAAATGGCTTAATATGCTTCTTAAATTCCTCCCTTAAAGTGGAAATGGAAACACCCAAACTAGAATGAAAATACTCCTTAGACTTAGCTTTGACAATTCTGCGAACTAATGGGAACGCAGAGGAACACTGTGGAAAAAAGCTTAATCAACCACTCGGTCACAGCTACAGGACAAGTAACCTTGTTGGTTCTAGCGAGACCTTCCCCATACTGGTCGTTTTTGTGCTGAGGCACATAAACTGACATATGATCACTGAAGATCGGAAAGTGAAGCGCTTGAGGCAAAATGCGTAGCAATCGCCTGTACGGTGCTAACCAACAGCGGCTCCTGAGGCTGAACAGGTCAGGCAAGCCTTCTTTTGGCGCCTTCTAAAGCAAACTTTACTAAGGGATGGCTAACAGGACAAGCCTCAATACCGGCCATTGCGTGGCCCCACTTAATAGCATAAACGGCAGACTCTGTAGAAGATACACCAATGTTATTCTCGGAAGAACGCTTAGCTAGCTCAGAGATAAACAATGCGATATGCAAAGGTTTTGCTGGAATGACGGGAACACCAATCTTCGATAGAGCCCACTCACGCCACCACAACCAGCCAGACTTGTACTTCAGCATCATGGACGGAGCCTTGGCATCTAATTGCAGATCAATAAGGCCTGGAACCATGTCACTCGAAGAAGAATCGGACAATGAGGCTGCTTCAAGCCAAATCCCGGAACTCAGAACATCTGAGAGAAAAGAAAATATCGTGAAAATCGAACAATTACTTCGCTAATGACCAATTTCAGCAAAAAAAAGCCAATGTACGCACAAAACAAGTGCGACAAGACCACATTGACTCAAAGCACACCAAATAAGGTTCAAACTATGCCAATTCAGGCTCAAAATATGCTAAATCAGGCTCAAAACACTTTCCGTGACAGGACCAAAAACTCACCCAAAATCCACACGCAAAGCCAACATTCTGAAGTTTGGGCAATTGTGAAAAAAGGACGGGTGAGACTTATGGATCTGCCTCTGACCTGGGCCCTCCAAAATAAGATCCTTTATGGCTGGAAGCACAAAAACCTCCCTGACGAATGACATAAATAGAAAAACAAGAAACGAAAATAGCGAACGAATACTGGAGAATATTGGATATGGCCTAGGAGTAACGCCATAAATCCGAAGGTGAAAAGAAAGCAAGTCTAACATGTAAAGTAAAGAGAACTAATTATCTTTAAACAAGGCCCCAAACGCTGCGAAAAGCTAAAAACCCTTCAATTATTCTGACCACTCGCTGAATAGGAAGGTCCTGAACGGGAAGAAAAAGTGGTAGAAGTAGAAGACGCCGATTCCTTTTGATCCACGGGATGGAAACGATGACGCCTTTCCTTGGTTTTTCTCTCAGCCCTTCTCTCCGCCCTGTACATCCTCTTTTCGTCATGAAAAAAAATACAGGAAAATCTCTGAAAATTTCATGTGAAAGATGTAATTTCGTGATATTTGACGTTCATTTTCTCAGGCTCCCTCAGGCCTTCTTTGGTGTTATTACAGGTGATTTATTACATCTTTAGGTCTTGGAAAATGTAAAAAGGAATGCCCTGTTTCAAATTATTCTGGTACAAGTTTTTTGTCCATTGAAAATTAACATTACCCAATTTCATAGTGGATTCCATCTTAATTTGTTTTGCATTTTCTTGTGGTAAGCATTAAATAATTTTAAAATGATTAATGCACAGTTTTCTGTTATAATAAAGGCTGAGTAAATTAAATAATTTATTAGGTTAATCAGCTATATTCTATTTCTCAAAATATTATGTTTGATAAAATAAATACCGACTCAATTATTCTTATATATAAACATAAATTAATAAATAGAAGCCTAAGTTTGCCTTTCAATTTCCTCCTCCAAGGGCAAGTGGTTGTTTTGGTACAGTCACTGGAGGGACAAAGCAGTTATGATGTACTAGCTGTTGGGAAATTATTAGGAGTAGCCACTTCAGATTTGGTGCCCGTTTTGGTTGCTTTTGTTCACCTAAAAGCAGCTCATCTTCTCTCTGTTGGTCAGGTGGTCTTATGGCCAAAGACCCTGGTTGCAGTGTATGGAGAACAAGCTCAAAGACAACCAGTCCCAGCAGAAATCATATCCCCCGTCTCCAGCATTCCTACTAGTTCCACTGAAGATCGTAGAATGAACTATGGACTGCAAGTCTTGCAATTGGGAGTGTTCTTGATGCAGCTGAATGACACTGAGGCGGAGGGCGATGGAGAGAGGAGGTTAAGGAACTGGGAAATGCTAATGCATATTTCAGGTCCCGAACACGAAGTATGAAGTATGCTTTTGAGTCCATGCATTTTATAACATTTGTTTGACTCTGAAGATGACTACCGCACAGGTTGTCGAAACGTCAGTCACTGTCAACAACAACAGTCCTATTCAGGACTACGTTCACCCGGACGATCAAACTCAACCTACCTTTGAAATGACTCCTGGGTTCAAACCTTTCACCATTTGTTAAGAGCTTATACAGTGAAAGAATGGCTCACTTATTCTTCATGGCCAGTTTGTAAATGCAAAGGTGGAAAAGGAAACAACTATGCCAATGATTTAAAAATGGAGCACAAAGTGAGGAATGATAAAGGTATTTTAAAAGGAATGTGTAGGAACAAAACGCTCAAAGCTGTACAGAGGTCAACATCACCAAGTTTTCTTTTGAATGAAATAGTAAAGCAGTATGACAGTAACATTTCCCCGGAGTCAACAGCCCATACTTATGCATGCACCTGCAATGATGTCAGAGAGGTGATCAACATTATAAGTGGGAAAAATCCATTTGATTTCAACCAGGAAGAAACATTAACAGCTTTCCTTTCATTTCAACAAGCCCATTAGATCAGCTGGATGTATTTGCTCTGCACGCCTGGTTAACACGGCACAAGAAACGCCTGGCAGCAAATCCATACAGCTGTGATTTCCTGTGCTGCGAGGATGATGACCAAGAGAGTACTGATGAGGAGGAGGAAGAAGAGGCTATTATTGTTGATGATGGCAATGATTTATAACTCCACGATTTCCCTCTAATAACAATAGTTTAAGACAGAATCAATTTTCAGTGACCAAAAACCTTGTACCATAGTAATTCAAACAATATTGTACCCTTTTTTTCCATTTTTCAACGGCTACAGATGTAATAATTAGTTATCTGTAATAACACTAAAGAAAATTTCCTATGAGAGCTCGACAAAATAAATATCAAATCTCACAAAATGACATCTTATACATGATATGTGACCCTCCACGGGATTTCAGGGAATAAGGTGAACGCACGCACACAGCACGATGGCACGCTAAAACAAAAGAACTAGCTTTTAACTAGCTGTTTTCCATGATGGAAGCAGCCAAGAGAGCAGGGAAGATTGCTTATTTTGTGTTAGATAAACTGGTTATTAGAGACAGACCCAATGTTGAGAACAGCTAAGTTATTTATTTCTTACTGCTTTTTTCCCTCTTGTTTTTTCATCTTTGTTTTTTTTTTAATTTTGTTTTCCCCCACATTGAAAATGTCTGTCTTTCGGGAATTTTCATTTCCCTTTAACGACCTTGATGACGCCGACTTCAACCTAGCAATTTATGAAATGCAAAATGGTCCTGTTCACTATGATGCTGATAGATTGGCTAGTTTAAGTTTCAATCCTTTACTCCACAATATTAGAACAAATCTAGCTCTTTCATTTGACCTTGACCCTGACACCAACCTCAGGGATTTATTTGGCGATGACTGTGAATATTTTATTGAAGATCAATTTAATGACATGCTATCTAGTGAAGATTCGCGTATCTGTGACAGCTTTTCTCTACTGTATCGAAACATTCGTAGCCTACAATGTAATGCTAGCAAATTAACGGATCTTTTATCTAACGTAAATTTAAAATTTTCTTTGATTGGTATTTCCGAAACTTGGCTAAATGATTCTTCGTCGTCAGTCGACATCGACGGTTACAGTTTTGTTTATAAAAGTAGGGAAAATAGATCCGGTGGTGGAGTTGGTCTGTATGTTTCTAGCAATTTGAATTTTAAATTTCGATGTGATCTTGATTTTTCGTTGCCAAACGTCGCAGAATCTTTGTTTATTGAAATTGTTAAGCCCCAGGGAAAGAACATTGTTACTGGTGTGATTTACAGGCCGCCAAACCAAAACGTTGATGAATTTTTAACAATGACCAATGAGTTATTAAGTAAGATTTCAAAAGAAAATAAGGTATGTTATTTAATGGGTGACTTTAACTCAAATCTAATGAACCACCATTGTCATTCCGTTACTGATGAATTTTTAGATGCACTATATTCAAATATGTTCTTTTCATTGATTATGCGCCCTACAAGAATAACTTGTCATTCGGCAACTTTAATTGACAACATTTTCGTCAACCAATTTTTCGATAGATCTAGGAGGGGACTGTTTTTCACTGACATTTCTGACCATCTGCCTATATTTTCTATTCATTTCGAGACCTCAATCTCAGCATCTAATGAAACTGTTTTTGTTCGAGATCTAAATCAAGTCAACACAACTAAGTTTCTATCGCATTTGGAGAGAATTGACTGGTCTCAGTATGCCACTCTTGATGATCCAAATAATGCCTATAACAGCTTTTTCAAACAATACTCTACGGCATATGACTTATGTTTTCCTTTAAAAAAAACCAAGGTGAGCAATTACCGTTTGAGTAAGCCTTGGTTATCGAAAGGACTTCTGAAGTCGATAAGAACGAAAAATAAGTTATATAGACAGTATCTCACTAATCAATCTTCGCATTATGAAATTCTTTATAAAAATTACAAAAACAAATTGAATCACTCATTAAGAATCGCTAAACGTATATATTACGAAAAGAAAATTGATACTTCTAAATCAAATGCCAGAGCTACATGGGGAGTTCTAAACGAAATTATTAAGACAAAAAAGAAAGCGTTTAAAATCAACTCCATCTTTAAGGTTGACAACCAAGAAATTACAGGTCCAGTAGACATCACTAATAGATTCTGTAGTTATTTTTCTAGTATCGGACCTAATCTAGCCAAAGAAATTCACTCGTCTGTCTCTCACCGCAGTTTTCTCTCTGGTCACTTTTGTCTTAGTACGGTTTTGTTCTCTTGTAGTACGCTTAGTACGGCAATGTTCTATTATGTTGGTATTTTTTTCGGTCTTAGTACGTTAGTACGCTTAGTACGGCCATATTCTATGTATGTTGGTATTTTTTTCGGTCTTAGTATGTTAGTACGCTTAGTGCGGCCATGATCTCATGTGTGTTGGTATTTTATTCGGTCTTAGTACGTTAGTACGCTTAGTACGGCCGTGTTCTATGTATGTTGCTATTTTTTCGGTCTTAGTACGTTAGTATGCTTAGTACGGCCGTGTTCTATGTATGTTGCTATTTTTTTCGGTCTTAGTACGTTAGTACGCTTAGTACGGCCGTGTTCTATGTATGTTGCTATTTTTTTTGGGCCTTAGTACATTAGTACGCTTAGTACAGCCATGTTCTATGTATGTTCGTATTTTATTCAGTCCTTGTACGTTAGTATGCTTAGTACAGCCGTGTTCTATGTATGTTGCTATTTTTTTCGGTCTTAGTACGGCCGTGTTCTATGCATATCTGTATTTGATTCGGTCTTAGTACGTTAGTACGCTTAGTACGGCCGTGTTCCATGTATGTTGCTATTTTTTTCGGTCTTAGTACGTTAGTACGCTTAGTACGGCCGTGTTCTATGTATGTTACTATTTTTTGGGGGCCTTAGTACGTTAGTACGCTTAGTACAGCCATGTTCTATGTATGTTCGTATTTTAGTCAGTCCTTGTACGTTAGTATGCTTAGTACGGCGGTGTTCTATGTATGTTGCTATTTTTTTCGGTCTTAGTACGTTAGTACGCTTAGTACGGCCGTGTTCTATCTATGTTGCTATTTTTTTCGGTCTTAGTACGTTAGTACGCTTAGTACGGCCATGTTCTATGTATGTTGCTATTTTTTTTGGCCTTAGTACGTTAGTACGCTTAGTACGGCCATGTTCTATGTGTGTTCGTATTTAATCAGTCTTAGTATGTTAGTACGCTTAGTACGGCCGTGTTCTATGCATATCTGTATTTGATTGGGTCTTAGTACGTTAGTACGCTTAGTACGGCCATGTTCTCATGTATGTTGGTATTTTATTCAGTCTTAGTACTTCTACGTTTGCTGCCTTTTTAATAGGCCTTATAAATACCTCGATACGCCAATTACGGACATGGTCTATGACCACTGTATGGCCAAGAGTTCTGCATTTCTCAAACAAATGAGCTCGGAATCCAGCTCTTCACTAAATATAGTACATTGTTCAGGCGTACTAAGAAAAAAAAAAGAAAATTCATTCCTAAACTTGGCATGGTATAATGCCATGGATCACCTCAGCTACGTGTTACATGTACATTTTATTCAAAGAAAGCAAAACCATTTTTTCCGTGCTGCTTGCATGATGGAAAGAACATATAATATTTGAGGTACAATGGACAACTGAAATTGAATAAGACTATCATTAAGGAATAGTGTAAACTACTTCTCAGAAGCTCGTCTATTGTTATTAGCCCAGGAATTAAATTAGTCAAAACTATGGCGTCTCCTCTTTGGCCTGGATGACTCTTTGGTTCAGACAATGGACTATTGCACAAACTGCAAGTAAGGAAAGAGGATGAAAGTGATGGAGGCCATCCCTTGATATCCATGGAATGTGCCTGGCCAATGACAGCACTGGGTATTTGTAGGGGCAGGGATCTCTTCATGTTTAGTTGAACAGTTGATAAACGGCTGTCAGTATCCAAAGAATTATCAGTGCTATTTGTACTGATTGGTCCTGATTCTGTTGATGATGACGTGGATTCCATCGATCCAGAAGCAGATGCCGATTCTAATGCTGATGGAGAGGATTCCATTGATCCAGAAGCAGATGCTGATTCTAATGCTGATGGAGAGGATTCCATTGATCCAGAAGCAGATGCTGATTCTGTTGCTGATAACGTGGATTCCATTGATCTAGAAGCAAATGCTACAATAGATGTGGTTTTCTCAAAAGTCTCATTAGATATGATCCCAAGGCCAATTAATATATAAACGTGTATGGATATTTTGGACTTTGTTTTGTTTTGCGTTTGGAACAAATGTTTTGCAGTCCTTAGAACATTATCTGAGGGCATCTTCCTGCACCTTCACATAGCAATACCCGGCAGGATTATTTGATGAGACACGTCCAAAGACACAGAACATTAAAGGAGAAACTTTCACAGCTAATGGTAGATTTCCTGATAACTCCCTGAGTCTCAACAAATCACTCCTCATTGTGTCACCACACTGGTATCCCTGCAAGTCAGGAATATCAAAGTACCGTTTTTCTGGTTGAGCAGCAGATTCAATGGTCTTCACATGCTCACATGTGAATAGAGAAGAAGAACTGCTGTTCACCATCACCACACGGGCTTGTTTGCACAGGTGGTGTAAGTAAATAGTGCTTGGAGAATCATATCTACAGTCCTTGATGACGAGACATCAGTCATCATGGTTACTGGTCTTGCACGAGTAGACGCTCCATGGACCAACAATAACTGAAGTGCACAATGGTATGTCCATTTTGAGTTTCTTGGGATTTTTGGGAATAAAAGTGCCTCCCAAATAGAATCCACAGTGGGTACACGTAGGCTCTTTATACCGATTGGCATATCCGAAAAGACAGTTGGGACATTTGCCCTTGCCTCGCTCACAAGAAGCCTATAAAGTGAAAGAAAAATAATGTATTATAAATAATATGGCTATCTAAATAAGGGGTCCAAATAATATTAAGACTATCACATTAACACTGATACTTTGGGTGGGGCTCCAAGCAGATAAAAATAAATAACTCTAAGCTGAGAAAGAAAAGTACCGTTAAAAGTACAAGTTAAAAGCTATTCCCCTTATTGCACTTGTCACACAGGCTATATTCAACCCTAAACAACCAGTTACATCAGTGTTCATTGAAACTAAGCTTATATTCAAACGAGCATGATTCAGTTAAGCAATTCAGAGAAATGATTGTACATTGTTGGAGATAATTTAACAATCATTTGGATGGCTGCAAAAATTTCCCCCCAAAACTTAATAACACTTAACACAAAGCAAAAAGCAAAGTGAATAAAAACTAGGCGGAGAAGGCAGGAGTAGCAAGGAATTAGAAGAAAGAGACGTTACAGTTGGGAGAAGAGGATGAGCAAACTTCTATTTAACAAGAATGCTAAAATTTACAGCTACACACATCTATCCCCAGAGTGGGAAGTCAGTTGACCATTATCGATGACGTCAAGCTTTCATGAAGGTTGTGACTTTCAATGGAAACTAAGCAGAGTTTAAAAGGTAATTTTGCCACTCCCTTGCGAAAAATTAACAACTTTGTCAAGATAAGAGACTGATCCTGCCCAACCTTCTCCTGGGCTATGCTTTTTATGATACGGTTGTGTCAGTCCAAGCATTTTTAACAAATGCAACAAATTTAAACAAAATACAAATGCAGACCCGTGTTTGTCCAAAAATGCATGGTTTGTAAACCATTACATGAATCTTTATCATCACTGATGAACTCACTTTGATCAGTATCTGAAAGTTTTTAAAATATGTCGGTTCATATATGGCTTTTTTTGGTTTCTGCATGGAAGAGAGATCTGATGACAGGCAGTTCGTTGACAGACAGCTTATTAGGGAGGGGTAATTACCATGTGAACCTGTCCCTGGGGCCTGGGATAAATCCTTCAAATTACGAGGACACTTTGGCCATCCCTGTAAAATGTTTCGTTTCCCATCGCCCTCCCTCTTGTGAAGGTGGGTCGGTTGGTCGGGCAAAAAAAAAAAAGAATGAACAAATGATGGCATATTAAATCTCACGTGTAGTCTACAAGATATAATCAGATGGTAAAAGATGTATATTAACAGGACTATCAAATGTCTAAAAAGGCTACAAAAACGAAGTATCGATGATAATTTTAGACACGCCTTTTTCAACAGATGTCAATTCGAGAAGGTGTTGCAGAAGTAAATCAATAAGAGTGATAGAAAATGCACTTGAGAGGGCCACACTGTCAACTGTACTCCTGCCTACTTCACTTTGCAATTTCAGTCTGTAATTTATACGGTCTTTCTTGATTTCTGCTTGAATACTCTCACTGAACAAAGGAGTTGGCTCATTATCTGACTGATCTCTTGAAGAATCACATGGTTGATCAGGGCACCTGGTATCTGCACAGTCCATGTCATCTGCAGTTCTTGCCAATAGGCAGTCATCACAAGCACACTGAGCACCGTCAAAAAAATCACAGCACATATGTGCTGGTCCTTGGGTGGAAGGAACTTTATGATCAAAATAATTTCGAATCATTTTTCTTTTACATTCTTTTGACTTAACGTAGTTTCTCATCACATCTGTCATTTGTTCTTTATTTGGAGATGTCCTATGAGTTGAAATATTTGTCAGCCCCGGCAGGTAGACCATCTCTTCCAGCTCTGCCCACTTCTTGACAATAATCGTCCATTGAGTATGGCACCCCAATGTGTACAACTCTGCGAATGTCATTACAGTCAATACCTAGTCCAAAAGCAATGGTTACAAAAAGAACACGTTCGGTTGAAGTCCCCTTTACCAATTCCTCCACAATCCTAGAGCGTTCACTTTCGGGATATTGGGCATGATATTGGGTAACAGTCTGTTTTTGGCAAAGGGTTCAGCATTGGGCATATAAAATTGATCTTTACCCTTCTTTGTGCTAAAATACAGAAAGCAGTCGGAAATAGTTTCAAGGCTTCCATAAATCAGTGTAAGGGGCATATTTACCTTATAGGCTTTCAACTCAGCAACTATCGGTTCCAAAATTGAACCAAGTTTCTCATCACCTTTGTCAGGACGAGTGTGCGATGCATATAGTAAATGTTTGCTCTGCCTATGTTACTTTCAACAATTTTTGGATTTGAAAGCCCCAATGTTTCCATCATGCCACATTTAGTGGCACTTGCACTTTGCACATTTAGTGGCACTTGCATTTCCTCACATCTTGAGGCAAATTTACTGTATTCTCTCCTTCCTCGACTTTCACACTTTGCACAGCACAGGCATTTAAAAATCCTTCTAATTTCTTAAGTTGGCCCTTCATTAAGGTATTAAGAGGAGAAATAACTATATCGACAGAGTTTTCTTCTTGCTTGTCTCCTCTGCTTCGTAGGAAATCAAATATTGCGGGCAAAATCTGATAAATTAAAGATTTACCAAAACCCGTCGGCAATACAGCTAAAACGTCTTTCTTTCAACACACACAGCCCTTATGGCTTCAAATTGTTCCCTCTTTAGTTCCAGGTCTGGTTTGCCAAGTTTTGCCAAAGAGAACTTAATCGCCTCGTGAAACGAATCCTCCGACTTAGACGCCATTTTCCAAACTGGTTCGGGCCTGCGCAGTCGGGATGACAACAAGAATCCTGTTGTCAGCAAACGGATTATCCCAGGGGTCCCGATCCTGTCGCTGACCAAAAGGATTGCGGCGTCTGGGAACGGGATTGGGAGCACCTAAGCCATCTCCGTTTCAATTTTCATTAACAAAACATCATCTTGTATTCAGAATTTACCCGCTGTATCACCGATCCAAGTCGTAACTTACTTCTACTTTAATAGAGACAAAGATGACTTCACTGAGGTGGAGGTTTTTCCCTGAATAGGGGTGCCAATCGTACCGATGTCAGAGCCCTCAAGCCCCTTTCCAGGGTCATTCTTCTTCCGACATCCCAAGAGTTAAAGAAAGAAAAGAAAAAGGAAGAAACCATGCAAGATTCATGAGAGCTTTGACGGTATCTTTCAATGACCCTTAAGAATATTTATCCTAAAAAGTGTTTGACACCAGTTTGAGAGGGCCTATGTAGACTACCTCTTCGCGTGTGTGGTAAATCTCTGCCACGCACTGCTCCATTTTTATAGGGAAAGGGACAGATCATTAGCAAAGTTTGGAGTGGGAAAGAATTACAAAAATATATTTAATTGCCCCGACGCAGCCTTTTAATATAGACAAAATATCGCCGATAGTCTTTTTTTGCAATTTTTTGAGGTTATATAAATTCTATATATATTTGTACAAGGAAAAATTCTGAAAAAAAAGCGTCATGCATGGCGAGTAGCCTTACAAATACTGCTGCATTGGTCTAACAAAGTTCAAGCAAGGGAAATGTCAAGGAAAAAATATTCTTCAACATGCGGCTTTAAAATACTCCACTCCCCATAACTTTTGTAATGGTCCGTCTCTTACAACCAGTCTGGAATATCCCTAAATTTGAGGACAGGGCCAACTGGTCATGCGACACTTTTCAACCAATGAGAAGGTGCGCTTGTGTTTATCAACAAACAACTCAAACCATCGTCCCAGTGATCAAAAATTTTCAAGACAGCAGACGATGAGCTTACAGTACTCGTCTAGGTGTCACATTGAATATTTTAAAGAAAACATTGCATGTAAGAGAATAACAGCATTATTCTTTGCAAGGAATCATTGGGATGTTCGAACTGATTCCGGACCGATCGCAGAGTTCGTGGCTTCACTGGCATGGCTTGCAAAGAGAGAAACAAACTGGTCCTGTATGAAAAGAGTGTGAAAATTTGTTGAGATCGTACAAAACAGGTTTGGTACTACCTATTAACTTCTACAGGACAAGAATCAAAGTACCAGTCATCGTAACAAGAATAAAAAGTAGTTCAAATTTATTAATTTTTCTTGTTTGTTTTTTTGTTTTGTTTTGTGTTGACTTCAAGCATCTGGTGCTTTTCTTTGCTTGCTGTATGTCACGATTCTAAGAACAGGAATAGGTTTTTAATATCTGTTTTAGTCCTTGCTACAACCTCCGCGTTGCACCGCGTGGGCCTATGACGCTCGGCTCTATGTTGCCTGTTGTTATATAATCATACAAGATTACACTGGATTGGTTGATAGATAGGGTGCACGTGCAGAGCAACGTGCAGTGACAATGTAATGCAATATCACGACATCTTCCCCTTTTTATAGCGTTGGCATTCAAATAATTAATTTATAATTAATGTTCCAATCACTGTTCAGAATCACATAAAATTAAAAAAAATATTGTTCTTGGTTGAAACCAAAAAAACAAATATTCAGCGGCTTAATCATTCAATGTTCAGTAAATCCAATCAACGGCACAATGTTCAATGTTCAGTTCATATGGTAATCCTGATGCCACACAGGTGGTAGACGTCTGCTCTCTGATCGGCGAGTTTCAATCCTTTGTGGCTCGATCTCTGTCCCCATTTCAGTGTCAGGTGGCCCTCTCTCTGCTTCGGTTTTGACGTGGAACTCCGGTGGTGGAGGTCCCGTCTCAATCAGGCTTGGCGCAGGTTTGAGGGTGGACTCGGGCGGATTTAACTTCATGGGACTCATAGGTGGTGCTGTTTCAGGGGTCAGGCGCAATTGTCGATGGTTGCGTCGTTATCGCCTGCCGCAAACTTCATAAGACCTATTCCCCAAGGCTCTCGTGCAGGTCCCCAGACTCCATTCCTCCCTTTCAGGGAGTCGCATCCTGATGGCCTGTCCACACGTTAGGGCCACTAAAGGGCGAAACTTTTTGTTGTACTGTTGGGCTCGTTTTGCCTTCTGCTCAGCCAATTTGATGGCTGTGTCCAGGTGGGATGGCTACCGCAGGAGCGTTTCATGGTTTGGTAGGAACGTGTGTGTGCGGGGTCCCATCAGTCTCTGTACCTCTGATGTTCCTAGAACCTCTGTTGGGGTGTTGCGCCAGTCAAGTAGGGCTAACAGAGGGTCTTGCCCATCCGCTTTCGCTTTCTTCATCAAGACTTGCAGGTCTTCACAGCATTTTCTGCGCAGCCATTTGACTGAGGGTAACGGGGGCTTGAAGTTCGATGTTCAAACTGCCACTCTTTAACGAATGCACTGAACGCTGATGACGTAAATTGAGTTCCATTATCGGTTATTTAACACGTCTGGTATCCCATGTCGGGCGAACTGGACTTTACACACAGCTATCACGCTAGCAGATGTGGCCACTTTAACTTCCTGAACTTCAAAGAACCCACTCCAGTAATCGATTAGTAAAAAGAACTGTTGTTGCCCGAGGTAAAAAAAATCGGCACCAAGCATCGACCAGGGACGCGACGGGATCGGATATGGTTGCAGTTCCTCATGGCACTGATCTGGCTTGTACGACTGGGAGATTGAGCATTTGGAAACAAAGTCCTTTACTTCCGAATTCATGAGGGGCCAATACAGGACCTCGCTAGCCCGACGTAAACACCCTTCGATTCCAATATGCGATCGGTGAATTTGCTTCAACATTTCTTTTCTCAGGGAAGGGGGTACCAGCAATCGCTCACCAAGGAATACTAGTCCCTTGTCTTCTATAAGCTCACTTCTTTTGTCATAGTAGGGCGTTAGCTCAGGGGCACAGAGCTTCCTTGACACTTCCCATCCACCTTTTATTGCTCCGATTAGCTTTTGCATCACTGGGTCGTTGGCAATCTCGTTTCTGAGTTCAGTGAGCCTGTATGGTGCAATCGAGAGGTTTTCTGAATGATCAATCTCGGCAAGTGCACAAATCAGACTTGTATCGTGCTTAGAGGCTTTGGTTGTGTTGCGGTATGCTCGACTCAGCGCATCTGATATCCACATAAGTTCCCCTTTTTTGTACTGTACATCCAGAGAGTAATTCTGAAGGGCCATCAGCATTCTCTGGAGTCTCTTTGGTAACTTGTGTATTGGCTTGGTAAAAATTGCCTTTAGTGGTTCATGGTCAGACTCGATGTGCACAACTTGGAGTCCCAGTATGTACTGATTGAACTTGTCGGTTGACCACACGATGGCTAATAGTTTTTTCTCGATTTGAGCATACTGGGTTTCAAAGGCAATGGACTGACCCTTTTGCATCATTATTGCGCCTAGACCGGTCTCGCTGGCATTGCATTGTATTGTCACTTCTTCATTAACGTCATAGTATTTCAGTACAGGGGCCTTGGCCAAGTATTCTTTGACTGTGGTGAATGCTTTCTGATGCTGTGCAAGCCAACACCAATCTACGTCCTTGTCTTCGAGTCTTCGCAAAGGTTCTGTCATGTCTGACAGGAGAGGCAAGAATTTGGCCAGATAATTAACCATCCCCAGGAACCTCTTCAGGCCTTTCACATCGGTCGGCTGTGGCATGTCTAAAATAGCTTCAACTTTAGCTAGGTCTGCCTTTAGACCATCAGGAGTCAAGAGATGTCCCATGAAACGCACTTCGGTTTGAGCTCTTTTCAGCTTGAGTTTGTTAAGCTTGAGGTTCCACTCCCGACATTTCTGGAAGAACGCACATTCATTCTTTTCAAGGCTCGAGTTGACCTCTAGGTCGGTTTCGCCAAATCCAGCGATGAGGAAATCGTCAGAGATAACTTCAACACCCTCTAAATCTTCTACGAATTTATGCATGCGTCGCTGCCGAACTTCAGGAGCACTTGAGATACCAAAAGGCATGCGGGCCCACCGATAACGTCCAAAAGGCGTATTGAACGTTGTGAGGTAACTAGAAGCATGATCTAAGATGATTTGGTGGAAACCGTCCTTGGCGTCACAGAGTGTAAACTTCTTAGCACCTGTTAAGCAGGAGGCAACCTCATCGATAGTCAGCAACTGGTAATGCTCTCACCGTATGGCACGATTTAAATCTCTCGGGTCAATACAGATGCATACTTTGTTTGGCTTCACTATGGCCAACATGCTGGATACCCACTGCGTCGGCTCTGTTACTGGAATAATAACTTTACAGTCAACAAGTTCGTCCAGCTTGTTTTTGATGCGTGGACGCAAGGCTACTGGCACTCGCCTCGGTGCGTGGACAACTGGTTGTGCCTGTTCATCTATGGCTATTTTGTAGGCTCCCGGTAGGGCACCCAATCCGTCGAATACATCATCATACTCTTCGAGCAAGGAGGCGTTGGGACACTTAACGTGTAATGCTAGGACATCACAGTTATGCAAACTCACAAAGCCAAGATTTAGGCTGGTATTCAATGATAAAATCGGTTGATAGTCGCCGTCTATGATGTTATAATCCAGTGACCTCCGCTGTCCACAAGACCACACGGGGAGGGTAGCTTTACCAGCAATTTTGCGGCGATCTCCCGTGTACGAGACTATTTCCTTTCGGCATGGTTTGAGGCGATGAAGGAGTGTGTCCCCAGAGATTTGCTTGTATACTTGGGCGGGGAGAATGTCGCACTGCGACCCGGTATCTATTTGAAACTGGACTTCTGTCTTAGGATCTGGCCTATAAATGTGGAGCTTGACCACTGCCAATTGTTCCTGGCCTTTGTTCTTTCTAGTAATGGCACTAATGTAGTAGGGGTCGTCTTCCATGTCAACGGCTTCATGGACCGCTGAAACTCTGCTTTTCAATCCTCGGGGATTAGCGCGACATTTATGAGCAAAATGATTCATGCCCCCACAGCTAAAACATGTTCTTCCGTATGCGGGACAATGACGTCCATGCACCATTCCGCAATTTCCACATTCTCTAGACGGTCTTCTAAACGCTTGTGACTTGAGTTGTCGTTCTTCTTCAAATTTTCCTGCAGATCCGGCCTTCTGTAACACATGAACCACAGTGTCTCCTCCAGCCATTTGCTTGACTTGCTGTTGGGTCTGTTCCGAAGACTTAATAATGTCGACTGCTTGTTGGAGAGAGAAATCATTCAAACGGAGAAGTCTCTCGTGCACGCGATCGTCCCGTATGCCTAGTATGAGGCGGTCACGCAATATTTCATCTGGTGTGATTGTATCGTGTGCGCAGTTTTTCGCGATCGTTCGAAGCTCCGTAAGATAAGTCTAAATGTTTTCGCCGGGTTCCTGGTTTCAGTTGTTGAACCGATAGCGTTCGTAGATGACCTGTGTTCTAGGAATACAGAATTTGCGAACTTCTTCAAGACTTGTGAAATGTCGTCTGCGTTTTCGTCTTCGTTCCAAGTGAAAGTATCGTGGGCTTTGACGTCATCCTCGCCAATAATGCTTAGTCACGTCGACACGCGGACTATGCCCTCTTGTTTATGTACACCAGTAGCGATTTCGTAACGCCGCCAAGCTGTCTGCCACGACTTCCATGCGGTGGTTACATTGTCGTCAAAGATAAGCGCTTTAGGCGGAGGCAAATTTGACGGGGGAATGAAAACTTGTGTCGGCGCTGGTGGCGAAACTGTGGATGCTTCAGCTGTTTCTGGCATCTTTTAGGCGTGAATAAATCCCGCTTCTGACACCATGTCACGATTCTAAGAACAGGAATAGGTTTTTAATGTCTGTTTTAGTGCTTATTACAACCTCCGCATCGCACCGCGTGGGCCTATGACGCTCGGCTCTATGTTGCCTGTTGTTATATAATCATACAAGATTACACTGGATTGGTTGATAGATAGGGTGCACGTGCAGAGCAACGTGCAGTGACAATGCAACGCAATATCACGACACTGTATTACACGCAATGTTTTAATTTCATCCCAGATAATCAGTGCATGTTCAGTGACTAGCAAAATATATCATTTACACTTGAAATTTGCCTTCTTTCTTTGATTGTTTGTTTAGAGGTGGATGAACATTTGGAGAATCCAACAACATTAAATCTTTCCAGATTTGATGAATTTCAGAAACAAAGTGGTTAGTATCTATCTTGCCCTTATGATCTTCAATTTCATTCCCGCAAATTCGGCAAAATGAGGCGAGATGTTGGACGTGAATATACGTAAGACTGATAAAGTTGTTTTGGCCTTGAAAAGAAAAAAGGCAAAGGCTCATACTAATGCGAAAAAAAGTAATAACACGGCTCTGTGATAAACCCGGGAGTGGAAAATGTACGTGTTTTGGACCTCGGAATTCAAAAATTGTCTACCAAAATTCTACGTTGTCTGCCATCCCCACATTCAACATGATAAAAGTTAATCGATATGACAATTGAGGAAAAATATCCAGAACTTCGTAAAAAATCAGTGAATCGAAAAAATAATTGATACTTTTTCACCTACCTTGGAAACCGACCAAAATCTCACCTATACATCGCGTTGTTTAAAAGAAGAAATAAGCCACAAAATGTGCTGAATATTTCTTGAAACACTTACAATATGGCTTCCGATACGCTGTCCACTTAAAAAAATTGTGTATACCTCATGAAAAGTCTTTAAAATATGCCTGAGAACCTCGAAACGATGACTGATTCTGTCCCATTCCGTCCGCTGTTTTGAAAATGTTTGATCACTGGGGTGATTTTTTAATTTGTTTGTTGATAAACACAAGCGCGCCTTCTCATTGGTTGAAAAGTGTCACGTGACCAGTTCGTCCTGTCCTTAAATTTAGGGATATTCTGGACTGACAACTGAAGTATTTGAGATTTTCGTAGGCTCGATTACCAGCAGCTGTTTAGGAAATGAACCTGCGCTCGTTCCCCAAAAGTCTCTTCTTCTCAGAGAGGAGGGAGCAGCGAAGCAGTTGTCCCTTTCGTAAACGGTCGCTGCTATTTTTAAGACACTTAAAAAGACAAATTTTTGACCTGTTATTGGGAGTGTTTCTATTAGAAAGAAAGAAAATCGCCACCCACGGTCAAACCCCGTACCTTTCGTATCCTAATCTCTCTCCCTTACTTCTACTTTTTGACTACCACATGAACCCGCCAAAATGCTGAAAAGATTAACAATAGCAGCGGCCAAAATCGAGCCTAAGATCTCCACGTATTTTTCTTTACTTTCATAAAATATCACTTAAAAAAACGACCGACGAAATGGTCCCAAGTAAAAAAGAGGGACAGGACTTGATAGAGTCTCGGGAGGGGGGTTACTCCCTTATTCAAGCCATATAGGTGCATGCCACCCCAACAGATAGTGTTTTTGGGCCTTTTTGGTCCGAAAAAGTACACACTTTGCTCATTTTGGTATGGAATCAAGTATGGTTTTCGAAGGAACTACGGGAGTGTATGAAAGTTTTATCGTTTCAATTCCAAATTAAAAAGAAAGAAATAGAATTATGCGAATTCGAGATGGATTGAATTTTTTTTGTTTTCGCGTTAATCTAAGTAATGATGACATAATTTTTACCTAAAGGCTAGGTCTAAAAATGCGTGTGGAAAATGACATTTTTTGGTCTGAAGTAGGGTCAGGATTAGGAGAAACGGGCGGCACACCCCCATCAAGAATTTTCAGGAGTACCCCCACCCCCCCAGACTAGTGTCACCTATCCAGTACTCAGTTTCAGCCTTGGCTTTGGCATCCACAATTACTGATAGCTTCTTTAAGCAACTTCAGGTATGGAGCTTTATGGCGAATTGGTTAATGGGGATGTCAAGATTGAGGCCTTGACAAATCACCTGAAGCAACGAAACCTTCAAGTTCTTTAATGTGTCTTCTTCTGCCATGGCACAGATGTTGTACAGGTCAAAAACAATAGGATGTTGGAGTGTGACAGTAGCCATCACTTGGTCTCTGGCTGTAGAAAAGTGTATTTCATCTTCAATGGCGGTAAGGTAGGCTTCATGGGTGAGGGTCTGTTGGCAAGAAAGGCAAGAGAAATATGAGGATATCTGCTGAGGGGTCAGAAATGCGGTTGATTTAAAAAGCCGCTCGCCATTTAAACCCTGGGCACGTCTCATATCAGGTGCTACAAGACTTGCGTCGACTTTCCGTCCAGTGGACTGACCAATGTTGAATTTAGCAGTAAGGTAGGCCTTCTGCCTTTCACTAAAATGGTATGCCTTCTTAGCTGGTTGCAACGCCCATCCCTCTGTTAAACGTTCTCCGCATTGTTTGCTTGCAACGCTGCTGGTTCTTAAGTTTGGCACGACACCGACACCCTCTTCCAAAACCTGCTGATAGCCAAGCTTAGCAAGACCCATAAGAGTGTGTTTTTCCAAGGACCGTATGCATTTTTCAGAGGATAGATGTTTCGTTATTGCCGAATGTCTTTGGAACACCCTTGTGCATCCACTCTCGTGGCAACTGTATAAACCGTGGTTGGTCTGACTCTCCTGTATGTCACTGGAACTCTTTTTTGTTTTGGGAGGCTCGTCGTCGTGAACATGCTTTTTCTCTTCATGGCTGAGACTTGAATTTCCCCAGAGAAAATGTAGATTCTAGCCACCTGTTTTTGGATTCTGTAAATAGGGAAATTTAAAAGTGTCAAAACGACACTGGGTAAACGAATAAATTTAGTGTAGAGATAGATATATTTTATTGTGTTTCAGTTTTAGGAGCTTTGTATGTATTGCTTTATTGGTATTCTTTTTTCCATTGCTCTTATTACTTTTGAGTTGATCTTCCCGGTTACGTGGGGGTTTCTTAGCTATCCTTAATTTTTTTTTTTAAAGAAAATTTTAAGATAATCGATGGTGCCAAATACAAGCAACAAAAACAAAAACTTCAAGACTGTGCGTTACCTGTTATCAAGGTATAAGCCTTGATTTGTTTTCCTCTGCCATATGCGCTCCATGCTTTGATACCACCCTCTGTAAACTCAAAGTTGTTGAGTTTACTGATATTTTGGATCTTCGCGATTTCGCTTATTGGTGATGCCATTGTGATTGCATCCAGACACACTACGCGGACGCCATCAATTCCTCCATGTGAGACAAGAGTGTCTTTTAATTGAGTGGCATTCGTGACATCATGGCCTTCATTGATGAAAATGCGTACGTGAGCCTTACATGTGGCTGGAAGGCAATCTGTGGCTCCCTTACGGCCCTGTGGATTACTGAAATCAATGCGTCTAATCTGGACTCCTGTAGAACCCGAAACTGCAGGGCACGCAAGGATTGTTGGTAACGAATGAGAGCATCCAGTTATGTCCTGCCGAAAATAGGCCTTTGTTACGTTTGGATACTCGGATTTGACAGGGCAAAGCACATCCTGCATGACTGATATCACAGAGGTACTGTCCTGACTGCATGACTGGATGATGTGAACATATCCTTGCCACTGTAACTGACTGTCAGATCTTCTATCGACCACGGAAATGTGCCAAGATATGCAACGCTTTCCGAACCAGCCAGACTACGATTCTCGGCACCTCTGTCGTAGAAACTTCATTACCCAGTCATTGACAATGAGTACTATCTCATTGTCAAGAAGGTCAAGAAAGTCCAGTCACGCTTGGTCTTGGTTAAATGATCGTAACATGTGGCTCTGCCATGAACGAATGGCAAGCTTTGATGACTGCATAATGTAAAGCACTTGATGACGCTCATCATCAGATGATGATGAAACTTTATTAAGGTGTCTAAAGAAGCCTCCTACCTTAGGTTAAAAATCTATGCTGATTAGGGGACACAAAATAAATAAATATAAATTAAAGTAAAAAATATTTACATATAAGTGCAGGTATAAAAAAAATGTAATGACATTAACAGTATTTACAGTATGACCAATGTGTCTATGAATTGCAGGGATGACAACACATGCATCCATTATCCATTAGTGTAACTATATCTAATGTACGTATTTTGTTTTTGAAACATTTTAAGGTGGTAACTTCTCTCAAGTCTCAGGGAGATGAAAAATGGCAACAGTTAATGCGATTTTCAGTTTCGTTTAGCGCTTCAAACTTCTCATAGGTATCTTCGTGATTGTGTTGGCACTGCACCTGGTATTCTGGATCGCTAGCATCGCTCAATGAAAACACTAGACAGTGGTCTGGTATGCTAGCTTTCTTCTCTAAATGCATGTGCAAAGAAATCAATTCATTGCAAAAGCAATAAGCTTTATATAATCAACTTATTTCAGGCGATCACCTACACACCTCAACAGTGAACGGCACTTTAAGTAACATCTTTCATCGCGGTTCATATTAAATTTTTGCGCCTGTATGTGCTTGCTACCCAAGTTATACGCTTTTCACACAAAATTAATGTTTTCCCACATGGGATGACGATATAGAGATACTCGCGCTTACCTCACCTTTTGGCCGTTTTTATGCTAGAGAAATAAAAGTCGTCTAGACACATTTAACGTCTGAGACGTTAAAGTCGTCTAGTGTAAAAAAGGGACGCACAAAAGTAGACAACCCTGTGTAAAAAAGTAGATTTTTCCGAAAAAAGGACTAGGCTCTACTCTCAGAGGACACTGGACACGAGTTAAAGCGGGGCCAAAAATGAACTTCAAGCCCACGAAATGTGAGCAAATTTTTTCTCCACTGCTCTTTCAGCCATTTATATTTTGCTTGTAGCTTAACAACTAATGTATTGATTTCCTTTGCTTTTCCTTTCTTAGAACTGGTTGTTGTCTTCGCTTGTAAACGAGCAACTAACTCTTTCTTAATGGCTTCAAAAATATGAACATTAGCTGACTTCTCGAGTTCAAGAGTCTCCAAAGTTAATGCAAATTCAGTTCAGTCATCTGCGAGAACAGATGCAAACTCCTTAAGTTCATCCTCACTCCACTTTCTACCACGAGACTCCTTCATGCTCTTCTTGGCCGCCGTGTTGTTTTGCACTCGTCCCAGTCGTCTCTGGGCTAGTCGAGCATAAATGCGTCCTAGTTTACGACGTCCTGTCTTTATACCAGACAACTTTAACATTTGAGACGTTAGAGTCGTGTGTTAAGTGCATCGTTCGGAGGCACTTAACAGAAGACCTTAAAGTCATCACATGTTGAAGTCGTCTGGTATAAAGACTCTGGGTACCAGGGGTTCTTTTTCGCTCACGGAGGGCCTGCGGGAATCCTCGGCATCGGCAGATGGCCGAAGCCTTGAGAAAAATGCGGCTCACTGTCAAGACATCTGCAAATTTTCCGCTGCCCGGGGGCCGAGCATTCACCAACCCTGGGGCCAACCCCGCACTTTTGACACACACGGGGTTTCTTATCAGAATATAACTACACTGAGGATTTTACTGGAAAAACAAGCAGATAGGCTCATCTGTCAAGGACAGGCAAAAATTGAAGAGGTTTGCTAAAGGCATGTTCTCGATTTTATGCATGCATTTCTTCGTTGTTTATCAAGTCAGAATTACATAGTGAAATAGGGAGCTATCGTTGTGAATGTGAGTGCATTAAAGCGATGAATAACACAGTACGATTTGCTTTAGTCTCTCACAGGGAAACACAGTTCGAAACGTGTCCAGAATTCAAGGCTCTATTCGACGATTACGACCAACGCTTGCGATAGAAACGATAGTTAAGCTTGTCCGTTTGCAACAGTAAGTACTTGAACTTCTGCGTAGCTTGTATTAGACTTGTACCACAAGATGCACGGTTTGTACGGTTTCGAAAACTATAAACCAAAAGTTAAATAACAATAAATACTAGAAAAACCTAGTAAAGAAAAAGGGCGAACTAAAAACTTACGTTTGTGTCCTCTACAACGTTGTTAAAAGAAACGATAACCGTAAAAACTGCGTTCCGAAATAACGACTTCACCGTAAGACGTTTCTTTCCATCGAGCACATGGATTTTTTTTCCCGTGACGCATTGCTAGGCGGCACGCCAAGGCGTACGTGACATCATGGGTGCGCTCCCTGAGTCACAACGTAACAGCAGTAACAGTGAATCAAGGTTTTTTTGGTTATTGAATCAAATTTCTGTTGATATTATTTGCAGAACATCCTTTCATATTTATAAAACTATTCATAACGGTTAACTTTCCAGCACACTTCAACTGTATTAATTCTAATGTCAATAATTTTATAACAATACTAAAACCATAAACTGGTGTGGTCACAGCATGAAGTCTTAATTAGAATAGCACTATCACACAGAAAGACGTTGATTGAAACAAAAAATCGCACATTAAAATGCGTAAAATGACACTACTCGACCGTGTGATCAATGAAAAATGTTACATTGTTGAAGGAGTACAGGGCATTTGCCCTCTTTTTTCGTCCCCATCCCGGGGGATTTGACAGCTCAAGAGTCCCCACCCCTGGGGAATTTGCCATCCAAGGCAAAAAAAAGCTAATGCCCAGGGGTCAGCCCTGGGCGGGGCACGGTGGGGGGCTGGGTGCAGCTGGAATTGACTGATGCATTATAGATTGAGGTTAACGACACCTGTTGACATTGCTTGGAGGGACGAGTAAAGGAAAGCTTAATTTCCCCTTTTAAGCTCTCCACTGCATGAGGAAATCTGGTCTCCTTGCAATTTTACCTATTGAAAATATCTAAGATTGTACTCAGGGCGGTTTATTACATAAAGTGTAGGCAACTTAAAGGCTAATGCTGCATTCACAGCAAGGTTTAAACACGTTTTAAAGGTGTTTAGTTAAACAAGGTTTAACATTTTTTCCTTCATAGAAGTTACCATCGGGTATCAGTTCGTGTTATACTTTCTACCTACTCTTTCAGTAAGATTCAGTGTCTCGTCTTGGCTGATCGTTTCCAGGTGGGAAACAAGATAGTCCCCTCTGTGTATTGTAAAATAGTGGGGCGAAATTTCGTTTGTTGCTGCCCAATCGTAGACTCCCTGTCGCATTGAGAAGAATAACATAAGAATGCAGTGAATATTTCAGTTATTTACGGTTCTACTTCTCATTAACCTTGAACGTACTTGTTTGTACACAACGCATGTGTTGAGTTTTGTTGCATTGTACTGAGTTATTAATGGGTTCCGTAAAAATTTAGAGTAAAGGTTAAATTCTGCCCCAAAATGTCAAAAGGGAATTCAAAGCCAAAATGTTTCAACTGGTTTTGTCTTCGCTTGTACCAACAATTCGATGACCACCATTGTGTTACGAATGCGGTACTTCGTATTGCGTTACTAACGTACATGCGCACCAGCTTAGGGGGCGAGGCCTGATTATTGTGTAATCGTTTGTAATCCTGTTTTGTGCTTTATGCCTATATTGTGATCGGTTATGTGAACGTTTGTAAGGTCCAATCATTTTAATCGGGAAAGAGTTATGATTCTTTATTTAATAGATATATTTTTTACCTTTATTAATGCATGAATCACGGATAAATCAGTCTTTATTTACCTACCGAACTAGTCGATAATTGTATTTGCTTTCTATCATGTTATTACCGAGTTATTATTATTAAGACATTGTGTTCAAGTCTCTTAGCTAGACTTTCGATAATTTCATTGTTGTTTCTGTTACAGTTTTTACGTGCCTAAACGATAAGTAAATTTGTGAAGTATCAACGATCGCTATCTATGGTTTTGGTCGATACCTTTTAACGCAACGTGATGACCAGTACACTACAATTGTGTATTGAGGGTTGGGTTCCTTAAGTACAGTTGTCACGGTTGTGATGACGAGAAACAGGAAAAATATACATGAGAACAAGAACTTCAATTTCAACTTGATACACTTTATTTTCAAGCCTTATTTTACCGCTTACAATGTTGAATGCGGATGTCCTTAGTCGACGTGTCCAGGTGTTATCATAAACCGTTAAGTTCAACAGGTCTAGTGACAACTAACTAATACGAAAATAATTGACGTGGTATAGATAGGATGCCAATGAAGGCAGAACCACCTTCACATTTGACTCGAAAAGTTTAGCAGTTTAAACATGCAAATGTATTGTACTTGATGAATCATTTTTGGATGGTTTTTTTTTTTTGGCTTGATCGAGAGGGTATAGTGTATACACTTTTCATCAAAAAGGTCAACTAACATTGTCAACATTTTTCGCCAGATAATGGTTTTTTAAATTTTATTTATCTTGGCTACAGCTCAACCAGTTTTCAGCTTGTTTTATGTTAAAGTTAGTGTTATGTGTAAGATAGAACGTTTCAAATTTAGAGAGAACCACTATCGATATGAAACACCAGGCCAAAGAAAATAATTGCACAGGGACAACATAAATCAAACGTACGGATGGTAATTGACGGGTTCGGTTTCTCATGAGACCTTTAATGAAATATTGATCAGTGCAGTCTTCAAATACTGGTTCCAATCGGTAAAATAAGTCATAGGCTT